GCGCGATCCAATGACCAGTACCAAAGAAAAAATGAAAATCAGAACAAAGCAAAACTGGCAAAGTGTATTGTCCACCTTTGCCCCAAGGTCTCCGCAGCTTTTTTCCATGGTGTTTCTGCTCCCGCCATTTGGTCTTGCCGTTTGGTTTCGCCCAAGATGTTGGCTCCAGGCCTTAGAGCCCAGCCCGGCAGATTCAAAAGTACATGATTTTTTACTTCAGCTCCAATTTCCACAAGCTATAAGCCTTCAAACTTTAAAAATATTCCTGTCTCTGTGGTTCCAGGTTTTGGAGCTCTGCCCTGGATCTGCTTTGCCTGGTATTCTGTGTTACTGCTGACGGCGAACTTCACTGCACCTCCACCTTAGCCACCATCAAGCCCCGCCTCTCTGTACGTACATTTTGGAAGTACTGACTTGATTGATACTTCTTTCAAACAACGTGTTTTAAAAAGCTTTTCCAAAAGTAGAAAACAAATGATTCAGTTATAACTATTTTTATATAACTAACAACTTTTGATATAATGGTCTCTGAATTTTAATTAGAAAAATTTATAATTTCATAGTACTACCTTGCAGAAAAGGAGCCCGGCTGATGTAATGGGTTATGTGTTGGGCTGCTACCCACAATGTCAGCAGTTCAAATCCACCAGCCGCTCTTCAGGAAAGGCTTTCTGCTCTTGTAAAGATTTGTAGTTGTTAAGTACCGTGGAGTCGGTTCCAACTCACAGCGACCCTGCACAGGATTTCCGAGGCTGTAAATCTTTATGGAAGTAGAACACCTCATCTTTCTCCTGCGGAACCGCTGGTAGTTTCAAACTTCCGACCTTGAGGTTAGGAGTCCGATTCGTAACCACTACGCTACCAGAGCTCCTATGTAAAGATTTACAGCTTCAGAAACCCTATACAGGGTCGCTATGAGTCACAAGTGACTTCATGGCATGAGAGCACCAACAACAACAACTTGCAGAAAGAGAAAATATAAAAATTAAAGTCATGAATATGCTTCATTTTAACCCAAAACCTACTACCATCAAGCTAATTTCAACTCTTAATGACCCTTAGAACAGAGTAGAACTGCTCCTTAGGGTTTTTAAGGCAGTAAATCTTTAAGGGAGCAGACATCTTCATCTGTCTGCTACAGAGTAGCTGGTGGGTTTGAACCACTTACCTGGCAGAGTTGGAAATCCAGTGCTTAACTCAGTGTGCCACTAAGTCCTCTTACTTCACTTCAAGGTACTATTTAAATAATAACATCTACAGAAATATCATTCTAAAATTGTATTACAAAATAGAATGCGGGACCCTATCCAGAGAACCAGTGACACTAGAGATGGAGGCAGAGATGAGGACATGGAGACAGACAGCAGCTGAGGACCCTGGACTCGTGAAAAGAAAGGGACTGGGTACTGGCAGCCAAGAGGCCGGCTTGTAATGTAAACAACATAAACAAAATAATTTAAACAAGCAAATGTGCCCTTTGGTTGTTTAAATTATTATATATTCCTGAGTGTTTTTTATACAACCACCCCCCAAAAAAAAAACAACAAAAAAAAGGAAATGGAAGCAAATACTGTTGAATGATGATGCATAGTGCACAGAGGAGATTGTAATAATTGCAATGAAACAATGGTGTAAAGCTGATGTTTCGCCATGTAAATTATCACTCAGCTCACAATAAAAACTTAAAAAGCAACATCAAACAGTACCCCTCTCCCACGTATTTAAGATATAATGGTAAGATTCTTTCATATATGAAAGAAGGATGATCACTACTAAATCTAACGAACTGTGAGCTAGTGAATAATGTATGCCAAGATAAGAATACATGAACAAATAGATAATAAGATAAAGAACTATAAATAAAGCAAGTGCAGTTTCACCTTTAAAATATATATATATTATCAAATAAAATCACATTTGCAAAATAATTCATTGGAGAATTATTTACCTTATAAAAAAAGGTATTACATAAAAACCTTGTCTTTTAGATGCTTTTAACCTTGTCTATATAGCATTGTGAACTGGATAGAAACAGAAATTAGGAGTGTCTAGTCCAAGTATCTAGATTGGGCAACTGATGTCCAGAAAGGTTATTGCCATATTAGAACCCAGGTGTATTCATAAACAACTTGTTGTTGTTGTTGTTAAGTGCTGTTGAGTCAGTTCTGACTCATAGAGACCCTGTGTGGGGTTTCCGAGGAGTAGCTGCTGAGTTTGAACAGCTGACCTTGACGTTTCAGTTCAAACCAACCTGCGGCCCAGTGTTTATCCTACAGCACCACACCAGAACTCCAATAAACAACTTAGTTCCTTCTACATAGAAAGACATCTACTGAATAAAACAAGGAACCGGAATGTTTAAAGTTCAGTTATAATGACTACCATCTGAAATAATTTCAAGTGGAAATCACACGATATATAAAGTCTTTGGCAAACACATACCAAGGTTCCTGCCTAAGATGAGTCTTATAAAGCCATATGTTAGCACTGATATAATAGCAAATCCTTTTATTCAAGGGAGCTGCTTTCTAGTACATATGTTAAGACAGCTGGTTCTCTGACATCTAGTTATGCTAATTAAATGACTTAGCCATACAGTCTCAAAACACAAAACATATAGGCAGTCTCTGTGTTATGAATGACATTAGTCTCTAAGTGTGTCTTTGAGTCAAATTTGTAGGTAAGTCAGAACCGGTGCATATGTATGATTCTTTTGTTTTCCTTCACATCACATGTATCCAAATTTTATTGAAATTACCATGTTAGTTAAATATCTCAAAAAAGGAAATTTGCATACAAATATCCAATGTGTGGCTGCTATCATGTTTTTTAAATGCCAGGTAAAACAAGTTAAGGGTTGGAACCAATTCATCTTATTTTTTACAGAATATTTGTTATTGTTATTGTTAAGTGCTATAGAATTGGTTCCAACCCATAGCAACCATGTATAGGATTTCTGAGGAGCAATTGGTGAGCCTGAACCGCTGACCCTGTGGTTCAAACTGACTTTGCAGTCCAGCACATTAACCCACAGCGCCACACCAGACTATTACTAAGGTATAAATACTTAAAGAAAGGTGACAATTATTATTTACAGGTATAAAGTCTTAAAGCTAAGAAAAGTAACATTTATTGTTGGGTGGATTCTGACTCTCCGTGACCCTATAGGGCAAAGTTGCACTGCTCTATAGGGTTTTCAAGGTTGTACTCTTTAGCGAAGCAGACTGCCTCATCTTTCTCCCAATGAATAATCGATGGGTTTGAACCATTGACCTTTGGGGAACAGTTAACCACTGTACAATCAGGGTTCCTAACTTCTTAAAGTTTTTATTGTTGCTTCTGTTGTTAAGTGGTGTCAATTCTGTTCGGACTCATATTTACTTTGTATATAGGGTTTCCAAGGAGCAGCTCATGGGTTTGAACTGTGGATCTTATGGAGGTTCTCAGTTCAGTGCTGATTCTACAGTGCTACACCAGGAGTCCTTCATAACGTCAAGGAACTCTAATATTGCATATGTTCTTATTTAGCATTACTTAAGGGCAAGAAAAGGCTCAAAGTCTTTTCAATGATTTAAAACCGCCTGTGCAGCAAGTGAAGGTGATTATAATGAAGAATTTGTTGTTGAGTGTTAAGTGCTGTTAAGTTGATTCCGACTCATAGCGACCCTGTAACAGGTGTCTGAGGGGCAGCTGGTGGGTCTGAACTGCCACAGCAGAAGTCCTTGCTACAAGTTGGCATTGGTTCAAGTGCTCTTGTGGCGCTGTCTACCCCCTTAAAGAGTTACACTCTTGGAAATCTTAAGGAGCAGTTGTACTAGGTCCTAGGGTGGCTATGAGTCGGAACTGACTCAAGGGCAGTGGTGGGTTTAGGGACTGGTTCAAGTGTTTCAAAGTGAGGGCAAATTTTCATAACATTCAAGGGCAAGTATGAAGATGTAAGATAAGTACTGCACTGCTAACCTCAAGGTCAGCACTTCAAACCCATTAGCCACTCCTCGGAAACCCTATACAGGGTCTCTATGAGTTAGAACTGACTCCATGGCACTGAACAACAACAACAAAGGACAAGTATGAGAAATCAGAAATTTTACCTAAATGATATTTTCCCTTAGGTTCTTTATTGTTGTTATGTGCCGTGGAGTCAGTTCCGACTCATAGCGACCCTGTACAGGGTTTCCGAGGCTGTAAATCTTTATGGGAGCAGAAAGCCTCATCTTTCTCCTGCAGAACAACTGGTAGTTTCAAACTGCTGACTGTGAGATTAGCAGTCCAATTCATAGGTTCTTTACTATTACCTAAATAAATACTTTGAGACTAAAGATTTGTTCATTAGGCTCAGTTTTTTGTATCTGACACACGTTTGCATGCTCTGGATACCTCCCGAAAAGCTATCTAGTAGTTGTATATAAAAATGTCAGTAACACCAGTTATAATAAGAGTGCCAGAAACAACTCAGATAGTGAAAGAGGCCACCATCCAGACTGTGTGTAAGAGTCACTCTTTAACAATGCAAAATGGTTAACAATCAAATGGTTTCTACAATACTAATTCTTCCTTTTTGTCTAGAAACAAAATGTACTAAGAAATAAAGGGGGAAAGATAATAGTTTTGGAGTGACCAGACCTATGGGCCATTCAAGTAACCTTCCCAGTTTACTGTCTCATCTTTGAGATGGCATAGTTGGCTCCACAAATAAAAAGAAAACATTCCAGAGAACCAAGAATATTGGATTCGTCAGTAAAAAGTGCCAGCAAACTCTTCAGTAAAAATTCTTTAAACTTTAAAAGGTGCTGGGAAAAAAGCATCTATAAGCCTCTCTGCACATACTCTCTTGAGTCAGTAAACTGGGCAGCCGCTTACTGTGTCATCTGTGCTCTAAGAAATAAGCTTGACAACATTAAAAAAATGTGTACCAATCAGAGAAACATCTGAGAAACTGGCACTTAATTCATACAAAACGTGATTGCAGAGTTCACAAATAATAAGATCATATTCCTTACCCTGACAACTTGCCGGGTACTTGTAATGAAGGCTTTTCTTATACTCAATTCAGTTGCATCGAGGTTGAATTTTCTAGGATTTGCTTCAACTATGCGTAGATCAAAAAGTCAAGGTAAAGCAATTTCATCATTAAAAGCTTAGCAAACAACATTCTGAAATAACAGACTCTCTCACATGCAAGCAATAAAACTTGGTCCAAACTTTCTGGAAAATCAACTTAACACTAACCATTCTCTAACATTTTCTGGCTACAAGCCGTGTGCGGATTCCTATGCCCCAAGATAGACAAGCCACCAAGAACTACAGCCCCTGTAATGAAGACCACTACGCATCCATGCTGTCTGACCACAGCTGAGTTGGGCTCTAACTCATGCGTGTCAACACTTCATACTTACTCTTTTTTGACTCCATATCACCTTTCCCATAACAGTTTTTGCAAACCTTTTTACACTTGTCATTCCAAACTACTTTTCCTCATGCCAAAAAGCTAACCCTACTTTTCTTACTCTAAAAAGAGATCAATTTCAGGGAAGCCTTTCCTGACTCTCCTGCTCCCCAGACCCCCCCATAGCTATCTATATTTTTCTCAAATTGCCTGTAATATATATTTGTGTAGTGATTAATGTCTGTCTCCCCGACTAGGACCACAAGTTCCATGAGGGCTTAGATGGTTTTGCTTATCAATCTAATCTCACTAACTGACAAAATACCTGGCACATAGTACACTCAGTAAATACTTGCTGAATGGTAAGTGTCTATTACAATTTCTTCCTCTTTATCTCATATTTTTTCTATTTCCTCCAGTTTCTTATCATAACCTCCTATCTTCAAGGAAGAAGAGTTTCTCTGTAACTGTGGCTTTTAATTCTGACCCCAACATATTTTGTTGCGCTTATTGTAGGAACAAATTTGTCTTTTAATTATTTATAAGGTATCCAATTCATTATGATTAATTGAAATTATGTATCTGACGTACCAGTGTTGACTATAGAGTGGTCCTGACAAAAGCTGTCTCCTTGATGGTTTGTCTCACAGGGGAAAAAACAACCAACCAACCAGAACTCAAAACATGCTATTGGCTTATTTTCCAGAAAGGTTTTGGGAAATAAAATTTCTAGTTGACAAAAGGCTATATGATTTTGCTTTTACATTTCTCTAGTTAGTCATTCAAATCAATGGACTTATTTAACATGAATTAGCACAAAAGATCTGCTTTTACTAAATGCAGTTTCATGGTACAAGATGTCTTTGTAGTGCACTGACATTATAACATCACTTCTTAAACAGTAAAATGACAGTTTATAATAGTATTTTCTTTTGATCTCTAATCTTATCTTATACCTCTATGAACTTACGTGACGCTGTAGGTTAATGCACTGAACTGCAAAGTTGGTTTGAACCACAAGGTTGGAAGTTCCGCTCTTCGGAAACCCTACACAAGGGTGGGTTGCTATGGGTCAGAAGCAACTCAGCGGCACTCAACAACAACACATGAACTGATACCTAATACCTGTATAGAAGCTCACTGTGTGTGCCAGGCCTTTTCTATGTTCGTTACATTTTTAATTCTCCTAACAACCCTAACTTTCTATGAGCAAGAAACCAAAGTGCATAGAGGCTAAGCAATGTGCCCCAAGCCACATGGATAACTGGTGGAGTTAGGACTTGAGCACCAGCAATGTAGCTAGAGGGTCTGCATTCATAGCCATTAAACTATACTGCTTCTATAGCAGAGGATTTATCAGACACTCCAGAAGAATCTTTGGTAGCATAGTGGTTAAGAATCAGGCTGCGAACCATAAGGTCAGCAGTTTGAAACTACCAGCTGTTACGCAGGAGAAAGATGAGGCTTTCTGCTCCTGTAAAGATTTATAGCCTCGGAAAACCCTGTACAGGGTCGCTATGAGTCAGAATTAACTCCATGGCACATAACTACCACCTAGGAGAATCTGGCCACGCTATGTTAGCTTGTTTTTGCTAAGTGCCATTGTACAAGGTTCCCAAGGGGCAGCTGGTGGGTTTGTGTCAAAGCAAAAGCAAGACCTATCAGTTATTTTTTTAAATGTATAAATACCTGAGACAATCAGATAAAAAGTTCATCCATTTGTTCATGCACCCCAAATGGCATGAACACCACAGAAAAGGATATTGATAGTTTCATCAAGGTCCTCTAGATCCCACTCTATGCTCCGGAGGTTGTTCCTTAGTTCGTTGGTGGTCCAGTCAATTTCTTCCCTTGTTGCTGTGGAGGGGTCCTGGAGGAGCTCTGTCCATCTCTGAAACAATCCCTGGGCAGTATTAACTGCTTTTTGTACCTCTCTGTAATCAAGGTGAAGGGAATAGCAATCAGACAATGTATTGCATGAACAAGTTACTGCATGATGTTAATTAACATTTATGATTAATGTTAATTAATCACTCCCAAAAGTGTGGCGCTGTGGGTTAATGCACTAGACTGCAAAGTCAGTTTGAACTACAAGGTTGGTGGTTCAAGCTCACCAGTTGCTCCTTGGATACCCTATACAGGGTATGAGTCAGAACTGACTTGATGGCAGTTAATAACAACACCATCCTCAGAAATTACCACTTCCAACCAACCCTTTGGTTGGCTGATGATGCATGGAGGGGATTGTAACCATGGCAATGAAATGATATACAATAGGATGAATGTAAAGCTAATGTTCTCCCATGTAAACTATCACATAATTCACAATAAAACATTTTTTAAAAAGCAACCTTATGAATTAAATTAATTAAAGGGACCTCAACATTCTAATATACTAATATTCAGATGCAAAAGTCCTGAATACTAATATTCAGATGCAAAAGATACAGCTTTTCTTTATTGGGAAGGATAGAGGAAGGGTCTCTCTTGCACAGCTAGTCTTTTATAAATTAAGCATTTTAATCTGAGATATTTTAAAAGCCAAAGTCTCACTAAAAACCTTCAATCATTATTAGCTTCAAATATATCTACTTTCCTGGATTACAGAGTACTCTACAGATTTACTGGAGTCCTGGTGTGGTGCTGCAGGTTAATGTGCTGGACTGCAAGGTCGGTTTGAACTGTAAGATTGGGGGTTCAAGCCTCACCAGCCGCTCCTCAGAAATCCTATACAGAGTCGCTATGAGTCGGAGCCGACTCGACAGCACACAACAACCACCACAACATTCAGATTTACTGGGGAGTCCTGGTATGGCGCTGTGGGATATAGCACTAGACCAAAAGGTCAATCTGAACCACAAGGTCAGCAGTTCAAAAAACTCACCAGCCACTCCTTGGAAACATGTACAGGGTTGCTGTGATTTGGAACCGACTCGATGGCATTTAACAACAACATAAAGATTACTGTTGTCCTTCTTTAGAGAGAAGGTTACTAAATGCTATGATCTCATATGTTTTTAGATTAGACATAGTCACAAGATGCAGTGCAGCAAATTATTGTTTTATGACCCTTCTAACTATGGTCTTGCAACTCCCACAAAATGATTGGGTGGGACTACAAAAATAAGGTGCTTAAGGTCCACCACAGGGATTAGACAGTCTGCTAATGCAAATAAGGTATATAGAAGCTTTGTGCAGGACTTCTCAGGTTTGCCATCCCATGAAGCTTAAAGGGAGTCAGTGCTAGAGGTTGGAGGAGGGGCTTCACTACCATCAAAAAGAACCGGGAGCAGACTACATCATTTGGACTCAGGGTCCTGGCATTGAGCATCTTCTAGACCCAGGAGACTTAGAGGAGAAAGTAAAACACTGAAACCTTGAGAAATGGTGTGTCATCAGTAAGCAGCAGCGGCAAACATAGCAGAGCAGCTCCTCTGGGCAGGAGGACTGCAGGTAGAACGAGTTACCTCTGGGCACTTATCAATGAAGCTAAAGAGCTCTGTAATATTTAGCTGAGCAGCAGTGAGACCAAGATCATGGGTCCAGAAACAGAGGCCTGCCTGAGGGCATGGTCTGAAAGAAACTGTCCTGATCAAAGAACTGTATCCTGAGTTGTTCTGATTATTTCTAAGTTGATCCTGACACTGAATTGTAACCTGTTATTTCCCTAATAACCTCATAATTGTGAGTATGCTCTGTGAATTTGTGTGGCCATTGCAGTGGATTATTGAATCCAACAGAGTAGAGAGAGCAACAGGGAAAACAGCTAGTGCCAGAATCAGTGGAAGTCTGTAGAGTACAAGTTCTATCTGACCTCCACCTCACAGTGCTCAGCTGTTGACTGATGTGGATAAGTCATTCTCTCTCCTGCCCTTGGAAGTTAGCTATGCTATTTTTACTTAGTGTGTTTTAGATCTTTTCTTCCAACACTAGGCCAATATTCACCATTTAAATTTTATCATCTAAATATACAAGCTAAAACGAGTAATTCTTTAAGTAATAGGGTCTCTCTAATACAAAGAAAACCCTACTGCTCCCATACTAAGAGATCTGTTTTAATCCTTCTAAAATTTCTAATTCTCCTGGAACAAACAGCACAAGAATATGTTCCAGTTAATTAGGATGCTGCTTGTATTCTATGGCTTTAAGACAGCATTTCCATGCATCCTATTCCTCCTGCCCTTTAAAGAACCAAAGAAAGCACTCAGAGAAAAAAGTGTCTTATGGTATTAAGCTCCATGACATATTGATGAGAACTAAAAGGTTGAGTGTTAAGTAGAAAATACAGCTAGTGAGCTTCAGACTGAACAAATCAATGAACTATACAGACAACAATGACTCAATCTATAAGGCTTACATCCAATTTATGGGGTAGCTAACTCCTCTCATGTCAGACTTTGGACTTTCAGTACTAAGGTAGAAACTATTTGTGATAAACAGGGGAAGGATCCTTGCCCACTATTGTAAAATAGACATTCAAGTAGGATAAAAAGGAATATTGGGAAACATGATTACTGAAATCTTGTAAGCCTGTCTTCAGCCTATAACTAATTAAAATACCTAAAAGGGGTTCTAGAACTTGCCCAGTAAAATAGGCTTCTTACAGAGCCTTGGTAGTGTATAGGACCTTAGGTGTAATCCTGAGCCTCATCTAGAACTTTCCGAGGTGGGACATTCCCACTTGAAAGGATAAGCAGACCAGCCTGGAGCAGCTAGAGGAACCGAAGATACTTCTTGAAAGAAAGACCAACAGGAAAAATCAAAATCAACAACAAAAACAGCTGTCTGAATGACGACTACAAGGACAAGCAAGTTGTTCACTAGAGAGCGATCAAGGCAAGCAATCAAATCCCTTCAGGACAACCCCCCACCCCTGCAAGACTGAAACTCAAAGGGATCACAAGAGCAGCAAAGGGATCATGAGCTTGCTGGTGACCATGCTGGTCTATTAGTGAGTAGAAGTGGGGGAAAGGCAACAATGAAGATATGGGCTGAGTCCGACCACGTTCCATAGCCTCCCATCAACCTGGAGATGAGAAAGAAAAGAGGAAAGGCTGGTTGGTCCAAAGTATGGTGAGGCCTGGGGTCTCCTGCACCCATGGACAAGGACATTGCCATGGAGGACTAGAGCTGAGAGTAGGGCATCCAGCTGATATGAAGTGAGGAAGACACACAAGAAAGCCCAAACTTGCAGATAGTATCCATTTGACCTAGCTTCAATGTCTTGAAGCTCACAACTCCACTAAAAGAAGATAAAAATTTTTGATAAAGGAATCAAGAGTAAATTGCTATGATCTGATGAACTTAACCTATACTTATGGATGTAGTAGCTCAAAATACCAACTGAGAGGGACGGAGTCTTTAGCCTACCCCCTCTGTACACAGGGGTGATAGGGACAGGCAACTTAGACACTGACTACCTAAAATGGTGGGGGGGAGGATGTGATAATAAAGGCACGAAATGACTGGCTTACAAGACTTCAAGAGGGAATTTAGTTTCAGAGTGTGCGGGGGAAGGCAGAATCTCCACTGATTACTTTTCATCTTGTCTAGATGGTCTGGTGAAAGGAGATGGGGATAAGATTCTTAGATTCAATAGTGAGTAATTGTTATCATGACTAACTGTGACTGTCACAACTGTAAAGGTAGAAGTTTTGTAACAAAAATGGGGGAGTAGTTAATACATTCCAGGAAGAGCGGACCCTAGGACCATCAAGGAAGAACATGAGTAGAATGTGGAACCCTATCTAGAGAAGCAGCGATACCAGAGGGGGGAGGCAGAGATGAGACAGACAGAGCAGCTAAGGATTCTGGACACATGGGAAGAGAAAGACTGTTTGTTGGCAGCCAGGAGGCAGGCTTGCAGAATGTACTCTTTGGTTGTTTATATGATTATATATTCCTGAGTGTTTTGGTGTACACCCCCCCCAAAAAAAAAAAAAAAAAACCACAGAGGGAATAGAAGCAAATACAGTTGAATGATGATGCACAGAGGGGATTGTAATCATTGCAATGAAACAATGAGTGTAAAACTGATGTTCCCCATGTAAACTATCACTCAATTCACAATAAAAATAAAATAACAAGCAATTTGCTCACCCAGAAGCCATCGAGGCAAACCTCCTTCCAAGACTAAGACTCAATGGGAATACACGAGCAGACATGCACTCTGACTGGTGAGGGAAAAACAGCAATGAAGCTGCGAGCTAAGTTCTAACACACTCAACAGACTCCTGTGAACCTGGGTGGAGACCTGGTTGGCCAGCAGTATGGCAAGACCTGGGGACTCATGGGACCAGAGTCAGTGACACAGCCACAGAGGACTAGAGTGGAAAGTGAAGCGTCCAGCTGATAAGAAGGGAGGGCAGACAATACCCAACTGACCTGGCTTCAATGTCTGGATGATGAGAACTGAACTAAAAGAAGAAAGAAGAGGGAAAAAAAGAGTAATCTGATAGAATTTGATGAACTTGACCTACACCTTTGGATGAAGTAGCTCAAAAGAGGGAACAAATCTTTACAGTGAGGATCATTCCCACCCCCTCCATACACAGAATAGACAGGAATGGGCAACTTGGGCATTGGCTAATCAAAATGGGAGGGCTACAAAGGCAAGAAGTGACTGGCTTACAAGCTTTCAAGAGGGAGCCTAGATCCAGAGGGCATAGAGGAAAGTAGAATCTCCACTGAGTAGCATTCAATCTGTCTGGACGGGGCTGATGAAAGGAGACGGAGATAGGACTCTTGTGGTACAATAGTGAATAATTGTTATGAGGACTGACTGTGAGGGTTGGAAATGTAAAGGTAGACATTTTGTAGCAAAAGGAGAGGAGTGGTTGACTTTGCAGTCTAGGAGCATAGGTCCCTGGTACCACCAAGGGAGAAAAGCAGAGTGTGGGACCCTACCCAGTGAAGCAGTGACGCCAGGGATGAA